CATGATTATTTATTAATAAAGGCTAGTTTAAAACTAAAAGCTAGTACTTTCCTTTATTAATAAAATACGGGGCGTTAACCGTGCACCCGCTGCACTGCGCGTCCCAGCCGTCCCCGTGGCCTGATCGCCTACCACGCACCCGCGTATGCCCGATGCCATCCGCGTGTCGCTAACCTCCAGTGCCGACTCTTCCGATGCGCACCATCGTGCGTTGCTCGCGTCCAGCTTCTCGACGTCACTCGCCCGTGCACCGTCTCGACCCTTCGACCCTTTGCGCGCATCACGGAACGATGCACATTCTTCGCCCGTGCTCGCACCCTCGTCGCCAACCGACCTCAAGTGCTCGCCTGGTTCCTTTAGCTCTCCCGACGGCCATGGGTCCCAACCATCTAACCCAATACAATCACCAGCTCGCCAAATCCAACCATCCTCCATTCTACTCTTACCTCCTCTTCGAGCCTCCATCTTGCGAACTCGTCTCTTTCTCGCACACGGCTTACACCAACACTTCTCTTCTTTTGCTTTTGCCTTGTGTTTCCTTCGAGCTCATTTGGTCTTGTGTCTCTTAGGCTTAAGCTTAGCTCGTGGACCACATCCTTTCGGCCAATCCCTCACACATGATGGCCGGTAAATAGGACTAGATGGCTCTTCCAACATATTTTCTAGCCATATATCGAGACCATCGCCACCTTCATCCTCTGACTCGCCTGGGTTGATAACCACTTCCGTATCACTGACTTCCGGCACGCTGCTGCCGCTATGTGCGGGCAGCGCGGCCACGACCAGCCCTTGCCGGCCGTTCGGCGACTGCTCTCGACCGATTTAACATGAAACAACATGAAATATCATGACATGATCAAATCTGCTTAATATACTCAAATATCATGAATTTGCTCGATGGGCTAAGATGGCCGGTGGCGTGCGCACCGTGCGCCGCCTACGGCTTTAAGCCGATTCTTCGACCGAACTTTATTTTCTTCGACAACTATCACATAACTGAACATGAAATAATATCTAATGATCAAGTAAACATGAATTGCTTTAAGGATCATTATTTAACATGACTATAAAATATGGTTGGCCCGTGGCATGCGCTACGTGCGCAGCCCATGTCCTATGGCCAACTAATCGACCAAACCATAACTTTCATCGAG